GCACTGGCATAATAGTGTTTGTATAAACGAACTAAAAACAAAAATGGCATAGCTATTATACAAAAAACAAACTAGCGAAGACAAGTAAAAGAAAATTCAGTGTTTTATGAGGAACATAAATACTGTAAAACATGCACTGATACGCATATACATGCTATGCATTTGTACGACTAAACAGATTTTGTCTTTGATTCCATACTTTTCATCTCTCATATGAGTAAGAGACATAAGGAGGGTGTGGGTGTGGGTGTATGGGTGTATTTGTAGGTGAAAAGGCCCACATCCACCCCGACATCGGCTGTGGGTCGGTTAAAAGTTCAGAATGTTTTTCTAATAAATGGTTTGCTTTTAAACTGACACGATTTACAATAACACTGCTAGAAGCTGCAACACAATGTTGCTGCTATATATTAGCGATCTCGTGACATTAAAAAAATTAAACGAAACAAAACGTGAAACGCGTTTTGAGGGTTAAAACAGCTCGTTTTGCCAAGCTTTGCTGAAAAAGAAAGAATTGTGAAATTTTTTTGCTTGAGTCGAATGACTTTTGCAACTTCGATTGTTTTGAAACGATAACAAGTGCGTCTTTCGTAAAACACTTTCCACAAAGTTTTCGAGTCAAAACGCTGTCAAACGTTCTACAACCGGAAAAGACACGTTTCGCAATATATTTTTTTCGGAACGATGCGAAACGTATTCATTTTTTTTGAAATGCGCCTCACTGCATTTATTTTTCCAACGATTCGAAATGCATCCGTTTCATTACAGCATGCACAGCGTTTCAGGTGTAAAGAACACTTCAGTTAGAAAAAAGCGGGCTTCGCATCGTTTCCAATAATAGACGGCGCAGAGAGCATTGTGTATGAATAGAAACAACATAAAACGCGTTTATTATCAAGCGTGTTTCGCAGCTTGCTAAAGTTCAGTTGTAGTGAGAATCGTATTTAAGATTAAAATGCAGCAAAATGCGTTGGTATGATATTAAAACGCATTGCCAGTGTTGTTAACCAGGCAAAATATATTTCACCACGCTAAATCAAATCTGTCCAGTAGTGTCAAAGGTGAGACTGGAAACTTGATTTGAATTCAACTTTCAAGTTTGGCATACATGACCGTTGTAACGTGTTTCGTAGCTCGAAAACAAAATGATGTGAGACAGTGCTGAGAAATGATCGTTTCCTAACGTTTGTTGTAACAAATGCACAAGGCGTCGGAAAGGTCAGCATTAACGCTTTTCGAAACTATGGACAAACGCGTTTTCTTCGCAGAAATTTTACCCATGAGATGGGTTATTAGATGACCTATAATATCTAGAATTTAAAAGCTTTATCCCTTCGCGATATCCAAACAAATTGTAGTTCACCATCATGTCGTAAGCTTGTTTTTTCTTCCTAAAAATACACCTCTGGCGCTAATAACCAAAATATCAAAAATATTTCCTTATACTTAAGGTAGTTTATCAAAGGGACAACAAAAGAAATGGGAATTTTTGTAAAGTTATAAGAATAGTTATTTTTATTATTGGAAATATTTTATAAAATTTTTTTCTCATAAAATTCAACTGATAATGGTATAACGATTGCTAATCGAATCGGAATGCATTGCTTGCTTTAAAAATGATACGAATGAATGATCAATTTCAGTCAAACAGTTCTTTAAAATTAACTTCTCGAAGAGTTTTTTTAACAGCTAGGGCGTAAGATGAGATTCTCGACTGGGTTTTTCCGACGTCTCACCATTTTTTTTCTTGGCAATATTCGACTAGAGTTATGCATTAACTCTGCATGCATGTAGTTTATTTGAACAAGGAATAGAAAAATTCTTTCTTTTTCGATGAAAGTCGATCAACAATAAAATGAAACTACAAACACTTTTTTAACACAGAATATGCTTTATAAGTCATGTAAAGAAAAAAAAATGAATTTCACCATATAGTTTCAACCCTATGATCTGATCTTTTCTGTTTCTAGAGGGGACCAGCACGTTTTTATTTATGCAGGAAAAGTTTTAGGAAACCAATAAAAAGATAACGCAAGTTACTATAATATAAATAATTCAATGTTTTTATGAAGAGATAATAACAGTCCTCTCGAACCTTCAAAAATTTCATCTGAAATAGGTATTCGAGATATGTCTTTGTAATCGTGAAAAAGCCAAAGAGACTAGTAAGTGCTCAGAAATAACATAATTCTAGCAGTACTATGAAAACCTGATGAAATCCGAATCGTTTTCAAAACTGTTTAAATTTCAGTAGCTCAACAGTAACGAAAATAATCTTTAAAAAAATTGAAACTGTCGAAAAATCCAGTGAGTTGTGCTCCGATAAGTCTCATGCAACACTTCTGAGCTTGAGCGCTAGAAAATAAAACAGACAAAATCAAAGTGATATGAAGTAGATCTATTTCTAATAGAAACATAGTAATGCGAAGTGCAGAGTGATGCGGACTCTTCACTTCGAGAGAACCTTCATTTTCTTCCCTGCAAAAAATGTCTTTTTATTGAAAAAAAAGATCATAAATTAATAAAATAATTTTGCATATCAATCGATTTTAAAGGATTCCTAATTTAATGATTATCATCGTTGCTGATTGACAACAATAAGTATTGGTTGTTGAATCGGTTTTATTCAATTCCAGTAAAACGTCGATGAAAAATAATTGATTCTAAATAAAATGTGCAGAAAAACTAATTATAATCGTCAATTTAGTCCAAGAAAATTCCATTTCCTGGATTGTCATTAACTACTCATGCTTTAAATCAATGAAAATCACCTGTATCGATTTTTCGCTGAATTTTTTTAATACGGGAATTTCTTGGATGCAAACAAGATGTTAGACAGCTGAAACTTCTATCAAAGACATTTTCTCATTAGTGCTAGTAGCAGTAAAAATTTTATATTGGTATTACTCTCCAATCGCGACATATTGATCGTGAAAACTACCTGACATAGTGATTTTTGTCCCTTTAGTGATACTCGTAATACACCAAAGATAAAGATGTTTCAGCTGTTTTTTTTTCTCTGTCGAACATAATAGTACATTGATCTGCAAAAACTCAAGTCAACCAAGATGGGCCGTTGTTGAAATATAGAGTCTATGAAAGCATCATTTTGGTAGCTATAATTTTCAGACTTTTTGTAAGAATATCATTAACAAGCGAGGGTTCTATATTCTTGAAAATGGATTGAATCAAAGTTAACTAAACTCT